AATATATATGTTTGCCGTCTCTTTCTCGCTGTGTTCGCTTGCTCTTGCGCTTGGCCTCTCTTTCTGTCTATCTATAATACAAGTTTACATGATGCTCGCTCTCTCTTTCTCTCTCTCTCTCTCTCTCTCTTTCTGTCTCTCTCTATGTAACTCTGTTCCTCTGTCTCGCTCGCTCGCCCGCTCAGCTTGTGGCGCGCTGCTGATGATGCGGCTGCCTCTTGTGGTGTCGCCTCGAGCGTCGGCATTGCGTCGAACAGCATTCGTCAATGGGCTGGGCAGCGCCACCCACCAGCTCGGCCACGCCCGTCTGCTTGTCGAAGAGACGTCGCTTGCTGGAGACGCGCGTCTGCTGGCAGGTGGAGCGGGAGCAGCGCTTGCGATCGCAGTTCACCTTCGAGTCCTGCAAATGAGAAGAGCATAGATGTTGTATTAGTTACATTGCTTGAATGGAGTCGTGCGATTGCGATCGGACTTACCTTGCAGCGGCACTTGATGCACTTCTGCTCGCCGTGCGACATGAGGATGGGATGCCATTCCTGTCCGTTTTCGTATACCTTGTTGACCACCTTGCAGCCGCCGGCGGCGAGCACCTCCTCGGCATTGTGGGCGGCCGTACGCTGGACGGCCTGATCGTGCAGCTCGTTGTGATTGGCCGGCGCTTGGTGCTTGCTGCTGGCGCCGTGGTTGCTCTGCTTGCCCTCCGGGCACACCTTGCAGCAGGCCTTCTTGTCGGGGCGGTAGGCCAGCTTTTCGCTGCACTGCAGCGGCGGGCAGACCATGCGGGGGCAGCGCACCTCCAGAGTCTGGGCGTCGCAGCTGCAGGTGGTGCAGGTGTCAAAGCCGTTCGGCGGCAAAAACGGATGCCAGCTGGCGCCGGCGGCATGGAACTGCTCGCCCAGTCGGCAGCCGCGGCGCTGCTGCAGCAGATCGCTCGCATTGATCGCCGGCGAGCTGGCCTGGGCCTGGGCCCAGTCGGCCGGCTTGGCCACGCAGCTGGGGCAGCACTCGCCCTCGCGCTGCAGCAGCTGCTCGCCCGCCTTGCACTTCAGGGCCGGGCACTTGATCAGCTCACAGTTGGCCTGGCCGCGCTGGCAGGCGCACATGTGGCAGGTGTCCTGGGCGCTGCGCCACTGCTCCGACTCGTTGTAGAAGCGGCCCGAATGGTAGCAGTTGCTCTCGGTGCTCAGCATCTGATTGCCATTCTGGTCGCCCGGCACCGGCACATTGTTGTCCGTGTAGATGGGAAAGCAGTGCGCTGGCACCTTGGTCGACTTCAACTTGCCGCGCAGCAGCAGGCGCGGATTCACCTTCGAGTGCAGCTCCAGGTAGCAAACGCTCGTCTCCAGCTTGATCAGCTCCGCGGAGGGCATCGACAGCTGGAAGCCCTCCATGTAGTTGCCCGTGAACTCTTTGAGCAGCTTCCGGGTCACGGGCGCTCCGATGGCCTCGATCGGCTTCTCCTCCAGGTACAGCTGCAGCTCTTGGTTCGGCACGCCGCTCAGCGTCAGTTCGTAATGGAGATTGCATTCGTTGTCGATCGCCATCCAGGCCATGCCCATGCCCTGGCCCTGGCTCTGGCCATGCTCCACGTGCGCCTTGAGCAGAATGGGCTCGGCGGAGTCGCGGGCATCGGCCACGGGCCGTGGCACGAGGCGGCCGCGTATCAGACTCGCCTCATGATCCGTCGCCACATTCACGCCCAGCTCGCCGGCGTAGAGAGACTCCAGGACTTTGGGTCCGAGCTTTTCGACGCTGCCGATGGCCTGGTTGAAATTGAAGCTGGGCGTCAGATCCTCGAGCTTGGCCTTGCGATTGCCCTGCTCCTCGATCAGGCTAATGTTCGGACGATCCCGGGTGTTCACGTGATCCGTCTCAATGTTATAGGCCAGCGAACCGTCCGTGTTCAGATAGACCCAGGCCAGGCCGCTGCTCCGTGTGCTCAGCTCGTTGCCGTGCGACGGCGCCAGCAGCGTCTGGAAGATCTCGCAGCTGGCACGCGTCACAATGTGTCCCTGGATCCTCAGCTGCGGATACTTCTTGGACTCCACGGTCAGCAGAAGTTTGCCGCGCGACATCAGGCGCAGATTTTGTATGGAAATGGGCGAGGACAGCTCCAGCACATTGATCTCGGCCGATGGCTTGCGCACACGCGACACCTCGTCCAGGATCAGTTCCTTGCGCTCCGGCAGCTCGATGCGAACACTCAGCCCGGCATCGGCATACTCCTCCACGCCAAAGATGCCATTGTAGACCAAGGTCAAGTGCATCGAGCTCGCCGCACCGCTGCTCGTCGACACAATGGCCGTGCCGCCGGCTCCGGCCAGTTGGGGATCCGTCTTGCCGTTGGTCGCCGCCGGTTCCAGCAGGGAGCTGAACAGTTCCGTCTGCAATGCCGTGTACTTGGCTATCTTGCCGGCCAGGGCCAGCTCGGCCTGGTGCTTGTTGCCCCAGAGCAGCACCACGTGGAGGCGATCGTCGCGCAGGATGCGCTTGTAGTCGCGCGGGACACGCCGCCAGACGCCGCAGATCTTGCCGGTGGCATTCTGATAGACGCTCAGGGTGCCGCTGAGGGTCGTCTCCAGCTGATGCTCCTCGAGTATATCGCCGCGATCGTCGACGAATTGTATGGCACGTGGTCGACCGATTTTCGTCGATGTATAGAATGAATAATACAGATTCTTCTTGTGGAACAGGAAACGAGCGGTGGCCACGATATTCTGTGGATTGTATGTCGTGTACATGGACTTCATTTCCTCGCCCTTCAGGAAGTACGATGTGCGACCCGTTAGCAGCGCAGCGTAATCTGTGAATTGAAAAGGGAAGCAATGACTATTGTGAATGGGAAACACTAAATGGAATGAATGAGCGTATGAATGAATGAATTACTGAGCGTGAGTGTGACTGTGAGTGTGCACAACTAGCACCTTCCAGAGTTACATGGAAGTCGGCAGTCACCTGCTGTGCGGCTATGACACCTACTGTTCTATGGTAACTCGACACCCTCCATAGCCAGCGGCCTGAAAATTTGTACAGCTGCTGCTGAAGGCCACAGACTGAACATATATTGAAATCAGTTAGATCGGCCAACTATATCTTATTATAATGGCTAATATATAAGTGTATTTTAAGAGAGAGATTTAACATTTGTTTCTATGATTTCATCTTCATAATGAATAGCTCGTTATCGTTATCTTTATGCTCAGATAGTTGCTTAGATTTCTATAGATTTTCACTTACGTTTCATGTTGCGCTCCTCTTCCTCGCTGGGCACTGGCACATCCGAAGCAGCATCCGTATCTGTAAGACAATAAGAAGAAGAAGGTTAGCCAAAATGGTCTACTTAAATGGAATTTAGATAGCAACAAATAGCATCAAAGGGTCCCGCAATGAATGCAATGTATGAATGAATCTGAATAAAAGAAAAGAAATACACAAGCACACACGCACACACACACACACACACACATGCACATACACACAGGTAGAGCGGATCCGTTGGTCTGCCCAGGTGGCATTCATTAATCGTGCATAAATTGAGCAGGTAGAACCAAAACAGAAAACTAGTCGAAAGGAATTCCTAGAAATTCACACAGCGAGTGCCAGGCAAATGCGGCGTGAAAGTAGGTGGACATATCTGGGATGTGACAGCACACACACTTACACACACACACACGCACATGTAGAGAGTTTGCTTGATTGACAGCAGCTTCGTTAGAAGCCGCTGCTGCAAAGCTGATTAAAAGCAGAACAAAAAAACAAAAATAAAATAAAAACGGCTAAAAAAAAGGCTAAGGCTGAAGCTGAAGTCGAGGCTGTAGCTGCATCGGAATTCCATTTCACGCACACAGGCGCAGCGCTTAAGCCGCAAAAAAGCAAAGAAGCAGAGACACTGAAAAAATACACACACAGAGCTACACACACACACACGCAGAGGCACACACACACTTCAGCTTCTTCTTGCCGCATAATGAAGGGCGACAAATCTGACACCTTGTATAGCATTTTATTGAGCCGAGGCCGCAGTGGCGTGGGGGAGGGGGAGGGGCTGCGAGGGGCTAGGCCAGGCAGGCCAAGAGCACGCTGCGGTTGCGCGCCGTATATCTGCATGTGTGTGTGTGTGTGTGTGAGCTGCTGTTGCCTTCCAATGTCGTCGTTTGGCTGTCCGATCTTATCGCCTGATCTTAATACGAGCCACTTCTGACCGAAGCCGAAGCCCAACTCTGCCCTCCAAGCTGTCCGCCGTCCACTACCCGCTGCCCGCTGCCCGCTGCCCACTCTCTTTGTCTTGTGCTCTTTGCTGCTCTGCTGCCTTTTCTTCTGCTTCTTCTTCTTCTTTTTTCAATTTGACGCGTCGTCTGCATCGCATTCTTTAGCTTATTGGCAGAGCAGAGCCAGCAGATCCTGCCATTCGCCAGGCAATTCCTGCTGAATTCGCCTTCGTCCTCCCTCTCCCACCCCCCTTCTCGCCCTCTCGCTCTCTCTCTCTCACCTGCCCTTGACTCGCGCTTGCTTCCCATTGCAGATGAATGAATTTCGTTTCGTTTCGTTTCATTTTTATGCCGTGTGTGGCTTTCAATGCTGTTTCTGTTGTTGTTGTTGTTGTTGTTATTTGGGTCTTGCTGCCGCTGCTTGGCCGTTTTTGTAAGCCAAGATAAATGAGTTTTGGTGCGCACAAAGACGACGACACGTTGCCCATCATGACAGTGGGAACAGAACGAACGTGCGACGCTGACGCTGACGCAGACGCTGACGCTGACGGCGGGGAGCTGAGGAGTCAAGCCGAAGCCGACAAAGCCACAGGGCTAAGACAAACGACACCTTCGGCCATTGAGTCAACGCTTTGGTATGCTGTGAGCCGGTCAGTCCCCCCCCCCCTCCTCCTCCCTTCCCTGCTTACCCCCGCCCCCAGTGGCTCATTAACCAAAAGAAAAAAAAAAAACAGAACCAATAATAAAACAGTTTTGAAAGTGTTTTTTCAAATGATCTAGCTGAATGGGGCATTTACTTATGTAGATCTCACAACCAGCTACACAGACGGCAGAGCCTAACTGATTGCTGATTGGATTGGATTGGTTTGGATGGCAACTGTTGTGGTTGGGGTTGCGGCTTCGGCTGTGGTTGTGGTTGCGACTGTGGTTGACTTGCTTCCATAGAATTTCAAACGTTGTGTGTGGCTCAAGAGCTTTGACGATTTGTTATTGTGGTAGAGACTGAGTGAGGGAAAGGGAGTGAGAGAGAGAGAGAGAGAGAGATACAGAGGGAGGTAGACGGAACTGAGTAAACATTTAAGCGAAGGCAAAGGACCTTTGATGGAGGGAGAGAGAGATAAAGAGAGATGAAGTGAAAGAGAGAGAGAAAGAGAGAGAGAGAGAAAGAGAGTGATAAAAAGAGAGAAAGAGAGAGCGATAGAGAGAGATAAAATGAGGGAGGCGGCGATAAGAGAGAGAGAGAGAGACCGGAGTTTGTCTTGTATCGTAGTCAAAGCTCATTTTTCCATAAGAGATCAGAAAGTTTACAAGGACTAATAGCAAAAGCTCAGAAAGGGAGCTTTCAGTATGGAAAGACAAGACAAGATTTGCAATACTAAATAAATAATAAGGAAGCTTTCTTAGACAAAGCCTTATTCATAGAGAGTGAGAGAGGGAGAGAGAGCTTTTGTGCTTTAAGAAAGCAGCCTAGAAGAGGCATTCAGGAGGCAAGCGCCTAGACGATAAATTGTGTGATCCTGTTTAACCCAAATGTCAAAGCACACACACACACACGTATCTCCCTGGCAGTGGATAAACAATCTAAATGGGATCTCGTGCAGCAGCGTCTCTTTTTTATTTTTTTTAATAGACAGTTCCGTTTTTTTTTCGATGCCGTTTTGCGATAAAGATAAAGTTGAAAATTTTATTAGCCCCGGCACACACATACACACACATGGAGAGATCAATATCGTGTATGTGTGTGTGTCCTGCCTACAAAGTTGGAGTCGGGATCGATTTTGGGTTCGTTTCGGGTTTAGCCATAAAATGCACTAAAAAAGGAAACGCGCAACCACAAAAGATGTCATCAACTTAAATTGTCAGCTACTAATGGGCACTGCGAAGCGAAAGAGATGGCAACAGAGGGAGAGAGAGAGAGAGATAGAGAGAGAGAGAGAGGAGCTGGAGTTTTGAAGATGTGGACAGTTGTGGCAGTTGGTCTTATCGCCGACTTCGATGCCAAACGATCGATCGAAACGATCTCGAAAAGCAACGATTGACGTTGAAAAAGGCATTCGACATTAACTTTTATTGTGTCTACCTGGTTAAATGTGACCATAACATGGACATGGACATGACGCGCGCTCTCTCCCTCCCTCTCTCTCTCTCTCTCTCTCTCTTTATCAGTCTCGATCGCCTGCTGTCGGCTGGCAACACGATCGCCCGCTGTGGCAAATGAGATAATTTAATAAGCGTTAAAATGCTCGAGTTATGTCATTATAAAAATAACGAAAAAATGCATAAATTAATGCGCCTGGAATGCGCCAGAGAAAATGACAAAGGCAACGACGCTGATGAAGACGAAGAAGTGGAAGAATAAGAAGTAGAAGCAGCAGCAGCAGCAGCAGCAGCAGCAGCAGTGAAACGATCAAGCGTCGGGCTTGGCTCAGGCTCTATTTGAGGCCTGCGGGCAACGGCGACCAAAAATGGGTAACAGCATTTTGTGGCAGATGCAGCGCAACTGCAACTAAACTTGGCCAAAGCAGCTGCTATACATATAAGCACACACACACACACTCGTATATATACCTGCACAAAAGCGGGCTAGACCAAGTTAGGCGAACAAAAAAAAAGTATATATATATATATATAAAATAACTTTGGTAAATCAAAAGCAAAGCCTGCTGCTGCTGCTGCGGCTGCTGTTGCAAGTTGTTGTTGTTAAATATTTTTACAATAGCTGCGTGAGCGTTGCCTGCTTGGGGGAGGGGTGAGTGTGTGGGGGAGGGGTGGCTCATGCAGCATGTGGCAAGCAGCGAGCCAAGTTGGGGCCGCGCCCGTGCCTTCTAACTATTTATGGCAAACGAGTTGCCAACGTAGCCAAACAGGCAGCAACAGCAGCAGCAGCAACAGTTTCTGTTGCAATTTGACGTGGCAGCAATTTAAGCCAACTCTGTGCAGCATAACCTCAGCCACGCCCCCCGTTTGCCTAGCAGCCCACTCTCGCCCTCTCGCCCTACCGCCCTACCGCCCTGCTGCCTAGCCATCKAGCCATCTAGCCATCTCTCTCCCTCTGTCTGCTTTGCCGCTCCGGCATATAAAAGTGAAATCTTTCTCGTCAACCGAGGCAACGCGCCAAAGGTCAACGGCTTTGCATAAGCAAATGAAAAATTGCCGCAAAACGGAAACTAATGATGTGCTGCAGCAACTGGCAGCAGCAACTTGCAGCAACTAGCAGCAGCAGCAGCAACAACAACAACAGCAGCAGCAGCAACAGCAGCAGCAGCAACAGCAGCAGCAGTTGCAACCAGTTTCCATGCCACACAGCGGCAGCAACTGGGAGACTTGCGACTGGAATTTAGCCACAGCACTTGGCTTGATTATGTGAAAAATGTCACACACACACACACACTCATACTCTCGCACACAGCGCAACTTTCCTCATAAGTTTTTCTAATTATGAATTCAATTCATGCAGAAAATTAGCAAAAGCCAAAGAAATGCCTTATGATTCAGTCGCTGTTTGTTGTGTGTTGTGCGTGTGTGTAGGAGTATGCATGTGTATGCGTGTGTGTGTGTGTGCTGCATGCCCATAAGCATGCTTAAGCTTTAAGGCCACTTGGGAGTTGGCAAACAAAAAAAAAACTCCAAAGAGGCAAAACAAATTCTTCATCATTTGGAAGTCAAGTTCCGACAGCGTTGCCAGATAGCTGTAAGAGCAACTTCAAGGATTCCCGGAAGAGAAGGGAAGAAATAAGTTATGTAAGTGATAGTCAGCGGCGTTGCCACTTCGGATGCTGCCACTGTGCTAAGCTGTAATTGAATATATTATACAGAGAATGTTGCCACCTGGTTAAAAGCTTTGGATATGATATATGAAATTGAACTACTGCAATCAGTAGCTTGGCTTTTCTTTCGCTATTAGACTAGACATATCAAAGGCTGCTAGATGTGAAGACAGTGTTGCCAGATCGTTGCAGCTTGAGCCTTTACTTGAGTTTACTGTAGGCTTTTGGCTATCTGCCCCCAATTTTGCAAATCTATTGAGCTGCTTATTTCAGACTTTAGCTATGCGTCTGCCTCTATCGCTCTCTCTCTCTCTTTCTCCTTTAATATGTTGTTGACTTGAATGATCAGGCATCATTGGAATCCGTTCGGTTTAATGTGGCACGTGTGTTTCCCCAGCGAATACTCAGACCCCTCAACAACAATAATACCAAAAAAAAAAAAAAAAAAAAAACAAATGTGAAAAGTAGCCCAATAACCAGCACTGCCCCAACAACCCTCCAGCCCCTCACGCCGCCGCCTCCTTCCCCCATATTGAGACATGGCAAAAATGTTCATAGCCATATATTCCCCATGGTCTTGTCGCATGATAT